TCTAACCTAGGTCTACCTCTACCCCTCCTAACTCCTGTTTCTGCCTCTAATATGTCTCTGATTAGACCTTCATGCCTGAGAAGGTGTCTTACCAACCTATCTCGCCTATTTTTTATTAACTTCCTTAGAGTCCTCTGTTCTCCTATTCTTTCTAATACCTCTTCATTTCTAACCTTCTCTACCCACGTTCTGCGTAGCTACAGTACGATTAAAATACAGAATGTAACAGAAATAAGTGTCGAGCTTTGGAGGGTGTAAACTAGATTCAATAAACAAGCGCACAATAAGTTCAGCAGCGTGGTTAAAAGCAAAAGACTTTTTTTTCAGAAAATCACAATAATTTACAATTCGAAGCCGGTCCTGTTCGTGAGTTGACAACATAGGTGTCTACCGAATAACGTAATGCAATAAAAACTCTGCAGCTACATGGATGGAGAATGTAAACCGATTATCAATCGTCTAAGATAAACATAAACAATTTAGCATTACACATTTACGAAAACAGTTTTTGAAATCGCGAATTAATAGATACTTAGATAGATAGCTTTATTAAAAACATTATGTTTTATATATGCAAGGTGCAAAAATATGTTTTATATATACCAAATACAATTTTTATTATTTTTCTTCTCCTGCTATTTTTCTCTTCCACAAGATTTCTCTCATCCTTTTCAAGTTGTTCATTCCTTGCAGTTGAGCTTTCCAACTTTTTGCAGAACTTCCCGTTTCCTCACATCGCTCAAAAATGTGTTCAAGCGTCTCTGGCTCTTTTTTACATAATCTTCATAGTTTCTTTTCTTCTTCCTCCCAATACCTTGACGCTCTATTTTCGCTTCCCAATCTAAATCTTGCGGTTACTTGTAGCTAGTTTTTTTCTCTTTACTCCCTGATCTTTCAAATAATGAGATTTTTCTTCTCCTTCATTCCATAATATCTTGTACTCTTGAGCGAATTTCATGTTTCTCATTTTCTCTCTTCTTCTTTGTTTCTCAATATCTTTAGTTAAGTTTTCTAGTTCCTTCCATACATTTCTCTCATTTTGCAGCTTCCATATATAATATTTGATTGACCATCATCTCTCCATTAAAAAATTCTTTCTTTCTTTTTTCCATCTCTCCCTTATGGTTTTCTTTTCTTCCTTTTGCAAGACCGAAATATTGTCCTTAACTTTTACACATTCTTTTAGTATTGCGTTGCCTTCGGAATTTAATATTTTTTCTTCGTACTTTAAGGCCCTTTTTGAATATTTTATGGTCAGTATTTCATATTTAGTTTCTTCCTGAAGAAGGTATCTCGGAATACTCTTATCTAGCTTTAGTGTCCATTTAATATATCTGTCCTGAATACTTTCGATTTCTTTTCTCTCTTCCCATCCCCAGATTTCTGCCCCATACATTATTATACTTTCTACTAGTGTCTCGAAAAGAAATATTCTCTTTTTCCAGCAATCTCTTAAGTTTCTTTCTCCTATTCCCCATACTTTTCCCATTACACTTAATGCCTTCTTTTAATTAATATAAAAATTCAAAATTCCGTTTCGCATGAAACAAATTTATCTGTAAACAACACCTAATAGAAAAAATTAGGAATGTAGCAACTGTTTCTTTAAAATTTGTCATACTGTCAGTGATTGACCTACACTAATGATTGATGTTTTATTTCAGAATTAGTTTATTGAACTGCATATCGATTGTCTCATACAAGATTTAACTGCTACAGGTTGGCTGTTAACATAATCACTCTGAATCACACTTGATCTAACTTAACAAATAAGCAATACATGAAAAAAGTACACTGGTTTTGATTTCAACTACCTACGTTTTTTTCAAAGACGGTAACAAATAAACATTTACATAATTTTCATGTTTTATAGTATTTTATCATCTACAATCTCGGCACTAATTTATATTACACCCTATCTACTGGAGATACAATACGTAAAACGACACAACGGTTCCCATAACTGAGAAAAGCTTCTCGTACCGTCCACTTACACATATACTTCAAATTCGGTATCAATAGCTTCATGAAAACTAAAACACAATATTGAGTTCATTTTGTGCTTTGTTTCGCTCCATAAAGAATCTGCAAACTTCAGTGGATTTTAACAACATCCTTAATTTTTAGAAAATTAATGACAGCTCATCGTAACTCTTTTAAATAGACGATGATTTAAATTGTAAAACCTAGTTAAGCAAATATCTCTTGGTAGTCAACACACTTCCGTGTGAAACACATTAAAATCTTCATCGCTAGTAACACTGATTAAATAGTCCATCATTCAAAAGGCCATTGCGGATTTCATTGGTTGCTTTAATGACATGCTGCAGTGACTGAAACACCTGTTCACTCAAATTTCTCGCAACCAAATATTGATGATGAATGACGCACTTTATAGCAAATCTAGAACTTTGTTTTTTTAAGTACACTAAGAAAGCCGTTGCGATGCCCTGACAGTAAAATTAATCATAATAGTAAACTCAGTTAAAACTTTAAGTTATTAAAAATTTCGTGACATGTTGACATGCAGAAATTAATTTATGATTGCCTAGTAAGATATCCTTATGTTTTACGTTTTGTGGTAGGTATGTAAAAGAAGAATGGAAAGATTCTAAAATGATATAACATCCTATTTTTACCTTCAGAAATAAAGCAATGACTATTTCAATACTAAATGTGCTATTTGTACTGAATTCTATTTTTATGAGTATACATGCCTATACCAATTCAATTCAAATTTTTGATATTGATTTTAGTCGTTTTAATTGAATGAGTGTGGGGGGTTCAAGTTAGATACAATGAAAAACAAGAAAGAAAAAATACATGTTAATTTATTTAAAAAGTACCTACAAAATTATTTTTAACACGTGTTCTACCACTTTGTGTCTTCTTCAAAAGTTACAAATTTTATTTTTTTAAGTTAACTCAAGGAGCTGTTAAGTTGAAATTAAATTTGAGGAAATTCGAAGTATTTTTATTTTGTTGATATTCTAATAATTCTCCAACCGTTCACCTTATTATTCTATTTTAATGCATGTTCTGCACCTCAACTCCAGCGGATATCTTAATAATAATTATTTTAAATTGATATCGGAATAATTTTTTTTTTAAACAATCAGGGTAATTACTTATAAGTTTCAAAACACATGTCTTAGCAAACCAGAGAAATTCGTGAACATTTTTAACAAAGTAAAATTCAACTTTGTCGGTGGTCTTGAGGTCCTCTACATTCAACAAAAGGTACGAATTAATTTTTGAAGAAAATAAAGCTCTTTTACTCTTGCAATAAAAGGTTATTAGTTTTTAATTACTACTTGAATTTAGCTTTAAATATGGATTTATACAAAGTGTCCCAAATACCAAATGTTCCAGGATAAGTCGATAACTTTTGAAAGAATGTGCATTATTTAGTAACTCTAATATCTTTTAAATATTTAATGCTGATATTTGTGCTGTCTCGAGAATATGATTTCTTTTTTCCTTTCCGATGGTTTTTTATTGCAAAAATTGAAAATAATTTAAAGAAAATTTTACAGTTAACAATACAAATGGAAAAGACTTCAAGGTGCAATGTTATGAATTAATATTATTCCGTATAAACAACTAAAATCATATAACTAGGTACGTACCTAAATTATTCGAAATAAAATATTAGTGCCAAAATCCAAATATCGAAATTGTCCTTTCTCTATTTTTTTATTACTTTTCCAAAAAAATTCCTTCACGTAGGTATTTTACTAGCAATTAACATTTTCGCCGGAAGACATAGAGCTCATTAAAATCTTACTTTCAAAATAAAATTTGGTTTATTATTATATTTATT